ACTCCTTTTATACACACGAACAATGCACGTATGCTCGAGGACGACGTAGGTTCGATATCCGGATATATCGGCATTTTTTTGGTTCCGATTACATGTTGTTTTACTGCGAAGTGTTCATTCAATTTGATTTTGACGACGAAGACGACGTTGGATCGAACATCCGGATATCTCGGCATTTTTTTGTTCCGATTACGTATTGTTTGCGTTCAATCGACAAGCGACATTGTGTTCGAAATCCAGATAAATGTTTTGATATCCAATTACGTGTTGTATTACGTGTTGCATTTTACCGCGACACGTTCAATCAATTTGCTAAATGGACTTTTCGGCAAATCCTATGATTTAAAAAGGAATCTATTGATGCCAGTAGATTAACTTCTTACATGGAATTAATTAACAGATCTCTCAGAATGATGAGTCTTTCTTTTTATTCCGACATTTTAAGAAACTAAACATTTATTTATAAACCTTTTCGAGACGCGGTCTATATTCCAATTATTCTTTTTTGTTTATAATCAGTATTGTATTCGGAATTGTAAATCAGTATTGTATATGTAATCAATATTGTAATCAATCTACTAAGCCACACTCGGAAAAATTGTTCAAATAAATTCATGTGAAAAAAACTATCGCCATTATAATCGAAATTTAATTACACCCATACATTGTTATCGTTATTTCTCGTCTAAATTATTTTCCACGCACAATAAAAAATGCCATTTTTCTTATTCTTACGTGTACATGTACTTGATATAGCGCCGTATATCTACATGCACATGTATAACAAATTTTGTGTCACTGTTTAATACACATACCAATTTGAATTCATTACCATTGCTTAAATAGTTTAATTATATGTTTGCCAAATTTTCCAAATTTTTCTAGTAAATGAATCAATACGCCCTAATTGAAACTAGTCTCCCTTAAAAGAAATTCAGAAAAAATTATATACATTTTTTTTTTGATAACGATAAACTTTTATTGGCTAAAAAAGTAATAATTCAGTAATTGATCAACAATTTGTAAAACCATATTTGAATTCATTATCGAGACCTTTTTTAGCCCATGAATTGAAAATAAAGTTTAGCAAAATGAAATGTTTCTGAATTTTAAAACCGAGATCACAATCACATACAGTATCCCTTAAAAATAATATCCCATGATTAGACTCGGATACTTTTCGTTATTTAAATTCGTATAATATAATATATGAGGCTTTTTCAAATAATTAATTTTAAATGTTAGCGATCAGCATTCCCAATAAACGTATAATGATAACAATAATATTATTTACTTTCAAGTACATGTATTAATATTTCTATATTTTTTTGGATTTTGACTATAAATACAGTGGAATTTTCTATATTAATATCCAGCTCTACACATAGCTCTCACGGTTACTATTCAATTTATCAGCGGCCTGCAAAATAATTTATGCTAATCGTTAATCATTTGATTCTCACTTACATAAAATCACTATTCTTCTCCGATTTGTTAAAAAATTAGCTCATATTTTTGTTTTTGGGACAAAACAAGGGATATACATGTATATTGCAATTCTATATTATTTAGTCATTGTTTTACCCAAGGTGAAACCTACCTGTAGAAAATGGTAACCGATGTGAATTCAATATTAATTTACATATTAAAGTTTAGGAATTATATTCCCGACATTTTATTAGTCTCCAAGTTAAATTGAAATATCCGTTTCCTGTATTTTCGTATTTTGATTAAAAATTTGCCGATGATCTACTTTACGTGTGTAAAAACTCGCTGTTGGAGATCAGTTTTACTGAACCAAATTTAATTTGGATCCTGAATTGAATTTCATTACGTCCGATTAGAGTCAAGGAATTGTAAGATTATATTGCCTTCCGACATTTTTTAATTGATAGTCCTATTGTAACACTAACCCGCTTTAATGGAATTCTATGTTTAAAAACTTTTATTTGCGTGTTAATAGTTTTCTTAACGTTAATGTTATCGTTAACTTTTAGTACATTTATTAGAAACCTATATCAATGAAGATGTACGGTACATGTATTTTGCATTTTCAGTTATAATTTTTTGAAACAGATGATGAAAATAAGCACGTGTAACTAGTAGTTGTTGAAAGTTTAAAAATTAAACCATTCAAATAAAGCATAATATTTAATATTGCATTTTTAAAATGTCGTATACATGAACTATTTTTCGATTTTTTATCGCTATTGGAAAGAATTAAATCTTCACTATTCACAATTAGCTTTTACAAAAATCTGAGGTGGAACTTTAAACGATTTATAATGCTTATACTTTATAAATTAAATTGAGCTGAAAATTGAGCCCTACATGTTAATTGGATTATTGAGGTATTTATAAATAACTTTTAGCTGCAAGTATGCAAATACAATATCCGTATTCCTTACGAGAAACTTACAAAGCAATGATATGTAACTGTTATACAAATTAAATATTTCATATCGTACAAGTATTTTCGTTTACATGTAGTCAATAGAATGCTTTTCCCAAATATGCTATGCAAGATTTCTTTACAAGATATGCTGGCAGAACTCAATTCATAACTCCGACTACCTTCGCACTTCAGTCTGATTTATAAATCCGTCCTGCTTAAAATACAAAATTTTCGTAGACCTAAGCCGAACCCTGAACCTCGGTAAAACTGGAGTTGATTCCAAGAACACAAGTTATTTTCTCTAATCCCAACCCAACCACTTCGAGGTTGACTGCAATGCTTGATGTTACCATAGCATCGTCATGTCATCGTCATGTCGCCGTCATGTCGTCGTCATGACACTGTCATGCGTCACCGTTTGTGCGATTTAATCTCTTCTAAATTTGGGAGTTCCATGTTCGTCGACGTTACCAAAATTGATTCCAGCTAAACATAATTATACATGTATATTATTTTATTCAAAATCATCTAACGCTAATACAATGAAAGATCTGTTAAGATGTTTCTTTACATTCCGTGTGAAATTCTCGCGTAATGTCACGCAAAAATACAATATATAAAACTTTGTTAAGCGCGTACCTCGTTTTAAATACAACTGCTAAAACCTTTTATAAAGTGATCCAAATGGAATTTAAAAGTTCAAATACTCATAATTGTAATGAATGTTATAACTGTCGAAAACATAAGTACTGTTACGAATGTTCATTTCACAATACTCGTGTTTGCAGTAAATGTACCGATTGTCGTAAAAATGAGTATTGCTTTGGATGTTTACACCATCATCTTCAACTTTATAAGGCTGAATGGTCTAGCGAAAATAAAGAGATCGACCGTCTAATAAAAGAATGTGTGGAAATTAAAGAATCTTTTGAATGGATCCCTTTTGAAAGATTTACCAATGTTGAATATCTTTCAAAAGGAGGATTTGGAATTATATATAAGGGATGGTTGCACAGATATGAGAAATGGGATCATGAAGAAAATAAATTTGAACGATCTAAAGGACATAACGTTGTTGTGTTGAAATCATTACATAATTCAAAACAAATTACGTTAGAGTTTATAAACGAGGTAAGAATGAACATTTCTAAAATGCAAGCATGATGCTTTGTATGTTTTCTAATAAAATCGAATTCTTCATAGATTCGGACTGCTCTAAAGTGTGCTAATGGTTTTAGTTATTATGGAATAACTAAAGACCCAACTACAAATGAATACTCGATAGTAATGAGATATGCGAAAGATGGTGATCTCCATAAATATATTAGTTCAAACTACGAAAAATTGACTTGGAAAGGAAAAATTGTACATTTGTTTCACATTATCTTTAATTTGTGTAAAATTCACGAAGGAGGATTTGTACATCGTGACTTTCACCCTGGGAATATATTATTGAATTACATCGAATTCATTGCCGATTTTGGTCTCACCGGTCCAGCAGATATGAATAAATCTAATCAAGAAATTTATGGGGTGCTTCCTTATATGAGTCCAGAGGTGCTAAATGAAAAGCCATACACACAAGCTGCAGATATTTATAGTTTTGGAATGGTTATGTATGAAATTGTAACGGGCGAAAGACCATTCGGTGAGCGGAGTCACGATAATAATCTTGTATTAGACATTTATAAAGGAGTACGACCTAAGATACCAAATAATGTTCCCGGATGGTGTAAATTTATTATTGAAAAATGTTGGGATCCTATTCCAGAAAACAGACCAACTGCTCAAGAACTTTACGATTTTATCGACTCTATCTATTCTATTGATCATATCTACTCTACCGACTATATTAACGAGGAGTGGAAACCGAATGCTTTGCATTTTCAGTATTACAGCTCTTTAGAATACCCCAAAACTGATGATGAAATTAAAGATTATCTTAAACTAGAATGGCAGAATTTGAAAGAATTTGACGAGGAGATGAAATCACAAGAAAAAATACCTACCAATAAAACCAAAAAACAACATATCCACCCAAATGCAGTTTACACCAGTCGAATTTTTACCAAAAAATTATTTTCAATTCCTACTGATACAGGTATGTACGTACATTTATTAATAAGATTGATATTCATATCAAAAAATAAGATTTATTTGAATATTTAGATTCTATAATTGTCAGGTTATATGTTCCAAATGAAGGTAAAATTGCATTTGATAATATTTTTTTTCCTTAGCTTTATTTGATTCTTCTTTTGTGACGCAAAACAGATATAAGTACTGAGTGTCTCGGAAAATTACCAGTTCATAATGAAACGCCTAAGATAATAGTATAAATGTTCGTGTAACCATTTTATAATTGATTCGAGATCACATGTACAGCACAATCCAATAAGAATGCGCAAATTTTTAATTAGTCCGGTAAAATGTCAGGGACAATTTTACATATAATCTTTGTTTATCTTTAACCTTATCTTAACTCTAACCTTACTCTAAAAAACCTTTAATAGTTGCCGGCCCATCTCGCATACTCGCCAATGCGTTATTTCGAATCACAACCCGCATTAAGCTTAATTCAGGTCGAAATTCGAATTACACCCTTACGCGATACTCTAAAAAACCTTTAATAGTTGCCGGCCCATCTCGCATACTCGCCAATGTGCGTTATTTCGAATCACAACCCGCATTAAGCTTAATTCAGGTCGAAATTCGAATTACACCCTTACGCGAGCATACGATATATTCTTATTTTTTGTTATCATGTGATCAGGAACAGTGGGCAAAGATTCAAGATTCGATATATATATTTTTATGTTATTATATAGAAAATAGTACAAGAATAATTCTTCAAATTACAAGTATTAGTTAAAGGATTTCTTTGTTAATAATTTTTATTTATCTTTATTTTAAAGCCTTAGAATTTAATATATAATGAAATTACTATAACAATATTTAATAAGCTTGTGATTATATTCTCATCAAGTTAAATCTATTTCAATCTCTTTTTTATCAAGTTAATATTAAATATTAGATCAGCTAGTCAATATATTTTTCTGTTTATTCAAATATCAATACAGTTAAATCTCTTTATAGTCATTATACTTGAAAAAACAAGAGTTAATTTTTTAATTATAGTTATTAATAACTGGAAATTCAAAAAGATGACTATATGAAATATAATTATAGAAAGATATAATTATAAAGTAATTTAATTATATCTGATTTATAAAGAAATTATTAATTTTGAAAAAGTAATAAATTATTTTACATAATGATTTTTAATTTAAAATCATATTTTTATAATGTATATAATTAAAATTTTATATATTACAAGTATTATTATTTAATTTAAGTTTATTTATTTTTTATTAATATTAATTTAAAAATTTGTAAATAAAAATTATTTTTATATTTTAAAATATATTTTTATAGTTATCATACTCAAAAAAGCAAAATTAAATAATTATAAACATAACTATATAAAACTTTTTTAATTATAGTTAATTATTGAAAAATTCAAAAAGAATAATTATAAAAAAAATATAATTATAAAGTGATCTAATTTATATAATATTTTTTGTAATAATAATAATTATATTATTTAAAAAATTATTTAAATTTATAATTATAGTAAGTTATAAGAAATAAAGTATTAAAACATAAATAAATATGAATTAAAAATTTAAAATTCCATATTTATTATTATAATAATAAAAAAACTAAAAGATTATATTATGAATAAATAATATAATAAAGAATAAAGTAAGCAAATTATCAGAATAAAATAAAGAACACTTTTTATTAATAATAATATAAAATAATTAACAGATTTTAGAAAAAAATAAAAATAAAAATTAAGTAAATTTCATTAATTAAAATAATTATTAAATAAAAAATTAATTAAATTAATTTAAAGATAAAAGTTTAAAAAGTAAATAAAAGATAATAAATAAAATTTAAAATTTATTAAATAAAAAGAAATAATATTAATAAAATAAAAAAATATATTTATAAATAATAATAAAAATTATAATATAATAGCAAATAATAATTTTAAAATTTAATCTAATATTTCAAGATTATAATAATTTTTTATTTTTATTATAATATTTAATATTTATTTAATTAATAAACTTTCTATTTTAGTAATTATAATTTATTAAAATATTTTTAAAATCTATAATAAATTCTTTTTAAGCTAATAATATTAAATTATCTTTATATTTAATTTTTATTTTTTATAAAATTATAAATATTTGATTATAATATTATAATAAAATAAAATATTATATAATATTAATAAATTATAATATTTTTAATAGAATTTTTTATTAAATTTAGAAATTTAATAACGTCTTTATTAATAGAATTTATTAATTTTTATATTCAAATTTAATAATAATTTTTATTTTAATACAGTAAATTATTTATTTTTATAACTAGAAAAAGAATATCAAATATTTTAATTAAAATAAATTTAATAGATTTTTTAATTATATTATAAAAATTTATTATATTAAAAAATTCTATAAATATAAAATTTTTTTATAAAGTTGAATTTATTATTAATTTTTTAATTAAGATATTAGTTTATATTTGAGATAATAATCCAAACTTTAAAATAATTTTATTATTGAATTGGAAATAAAAAAATTTATATAATATCTAAATAATTTAATAATTATAAAAAGATTCAAAATAAATAAATTAAAAAAGATATTTTAAAAGAATAAAATAAAAATAAAATTATAAAGATAATAAAAATTTATAAAGTAATTAAAATAATAAAATAAATTTAAAAAAATAAACAGAATAATTATATAAAATTTTGAAAATATTTTGAAACAAAAAAGTTAATTTAATTTATTTTATTCTTTCAAATTTTTTTAAATTTCTTTTAGTTTTATTTTTAAGATATTTTTATTTAAGAATAATTTAGAAGAATAAAATAAAAATTAAAAATTAATTAAGAATATATCAAAGAATTTTAATTTATTTTACTTTTAATTTAATATAATTCATTTTTATAAAATAAAATAAAATATATATTATAAAAAATCTTTTTGAATATTCATTCTAGTTATTATATAACTTCTATGTTTTATTTTAAGTATTTTATAAATATAACTTGAATCTTTTTATTTATCTCTATAAATATAATATATTATTTTAGAGTATTTTATTATTGATTTCAAATTATTGAAATTTTAAAATTTTTCTTCTATATAATAAAAAAAATCTAAACTCAGCTTCTTGAAAGGAATCAAGATTTGTAAATTCTGCTGCAATTTGCAGATTGACGGAATTTATATTATCTACTCGTCAAATTTGAACAAAAATAGAACCATTCAATTCATATAGGTTAAATGAATCAAATGAGATCTATTTTGTTCAAATTAAACTGTAGTAAAAAATTTTATTGAATTTTTTTATTTTTTTAGATTTGCATTGCATTTTCATTTTTTTCATCGGATTCACATTATATACATGTGACATTTCACATTATATGTGCTTATATGAATCATAATTATGTTATATTTCTTATTAAAATATTGTTCTTATATAGAGATAGTTTGATACATAATCTATCAAGATAAATAAAGAAGATTTTTATAGTTAATTTGATGTATGCTTGTGGTTTATATTGTTTTCGTTATTGTTATAAAATAGTTCATGTATTCACTATCTCTGATTTGTGTATTTTTATCAAAAAAAATCACAGTGACAGCAATGAAACAATTTAAAAGACGGTCGTTTTTCCTATTCAAAATATAAAAAGAACGATATGTTACACGTAAAAAATAACACAGGATCCCGGTATTGCAAATCCGACAAACGAAATTTCGGCATCCTAAATCAATAATAAACTTTTAATTGATATCAAAAGCCTATCTATTGGGTTGATAACAATAATCAATTAATCAATTAATCGATTAATCAACTATTGATTAATGGGCGATGAATATGGCGCCAACGATTAACCGCAATTATAGTTGAGGTTGTATGACATCACTATCTAACCCTCTGATTTTATGAATATTCTCAAGTTATAGAAGTATGAGCCTCAGGTTGGATAAAAACTCGAACTCTCAACTCTTCAGTCTTAACGACTAGATGTTGACGAAATTGATAGTGTGACCGGGACAATATCTTTCTAACTGTCTTTTGTTATGATTCACCATTTCGGATGACTTAAATAAAGGGAGGAATGTAAATTGATTACCTTTCTATGAATTTCATCTGCATTGTATTGTTCTGCACATTGCATCCGAGCGCGTATCAATTCTCTTGGCTTATTTTTACATGTGTCTGAAGGTCAATTGTGCGAACTTGCCTTTTTTTGATACAAAATTATTCAAATAGGTAGAGTAATTGTGTCCCAATATCAGGATCAATTGAAACTGTGTGGATAGCGTAATCTGCTTTTGCGGATTTGTCTTTCTGTTTCATAGATCCAGGTTTGATGTCAAAGGAAAGTTTACTATCAAATGTGATTTTGTGTGTGTGTGAAGCTGTGAAATGTAAAAACAATATTAGAAAGATTCTGCGTGTGAAATGGCAAGTGTATAACGAAGCATTTTTTTTGATTGGAATGTAAGAAATTTGCCAATGAGCCTCTCTGTCATTGTGTCTTATTTTTAATGACTTGGCTTTCATGGTCAGAGCATGATCAATAACTTTATTAATGAAGTTGACGGATGACAGCTCTCATGAACTTACGCTCATCTCATACAGCTACTTATTATCTTCTTGTTAATTGATGTCAATGCCAACTTCACATCTGCATAAAGTTTGAGTTTATTTTAAATGGGTCGAACTTTTAACCATGTCTGCTGTGTTAAACCTAATGTGACCTTTAATATGAAAGAAGCGAGACAGTGATAACCAATAGATGATGGTATTATAAGCATATTTCGATATTCAACCTTCGAGATCATTTGTTCCAATATGGTTTTGTACCAATGGTTGAGCATCTTTGTTTGCTGTTTGAGACATAATAACTTTTGGGGAGGAGAGGAAGGTGATGGTGAAACATAATTTTAATAGAACTTTTCTATTAGGGATGTTAACGGTCCGATTTGGTCCCAAGTTGACAAATTTATAATTGCAGAATCACGACTTTTCAAATCATTTATTGAGGTCATGAACTTGAAACCGGTGTATAAACCCTTGCAATAATTTTTATTGGTTCAATACCAAGTCATGATTTCCATAACTATAAATATCTACTCCTTTAGCGTAAGTGTACGACTTTCAATTTAAGGAAGTGCTCCGTAAACGTACATGCACATGTACATGTATTTTTTTTTCATTTTTACAATTACATGATGAACGCCGATGTAAAAATTTGATGTTGCATATTACATGTATTCGGTTTCCCCGGTTGTGTCATGCATTACGCGTTGCGCACTGTGTTGCCGGTTCCCTTCTGGATAAAAGGATAACGAAAAAAAATTAAAAATAATTTATTATGCTTTTTTCTGCGTAATATTTAGTTCAACAAAGTGACATCAAATGCATTATGCGAAAAAAAGCATAATAAATTATTATACATGCTATACTTTTTTTCGTTTTAATTTTCCAACGCATAATCAGGTAAATAAGATAATTCGTTTCTTTGTGAATAGTTTTTTAGATTATAATCCGATATAATGGTCTTATTTTTGATTAAAGCTAATTAGTATTTGCGAAGATCACATTAATATTGAGTATCCAATTGGAACTGGGGTTTTTTATTCCATAGTAAGCCGGTTCTTTAATTTTTCGTAGTTTATACCAACCATTGGCAACAACTTTACAATAGTCCATGTAATACATGTAATAAATAAATATGCAGTGATAAGTAGCGTGCCATTATCACGTCATTAAATGCCACTATGAGCTGAGCTAATTCCCCCCCCCGTTAGGTAACTGAGACCTAAAAAATCACGTAATACATGTAAATGGCATTTCACTCGGTAGAGTGCACGCCATCTAGTCCCACATATTAACATCTGTTATTATATCATTAATTGAAATTAATAACATAAAATGAATATTTACATGATATATAATATGCTTATTTTTTAATTTACAAAAGTTATAAACTTTAAACAATTATAATTTTATTAAGTAAACTTTAAATTTTGCCATGTAAATTAATATAAGCAATTTTATGTGAGAATGATATTTTTTACTGCATGTACGATATACAAACCTTAGATACTGTTTATAATACCTTCATGTATAATCACAATTAGCTCGTATATATTTTTAGTAAGACGCTTTAATTTTAAATCCTGTTCTCAAATAATAAATTTTTTATTTTTTTTCTACGATAAATGACACATACATAGAAATCATATAATGGATTTATTTTTTGCCGCATAACACAGTACTTGCGAGTATAAAAAACATTACAGTGATATCACCTCAATGGTTGACCTAAATTTGCATCATTGTATTATTATAAAATCATTTAAACCGTGAACTGAATTAAACAATTCCGTTGATGCAGTGTCACGATCCCACGGTCCAATAATCGTAAAGTCAAACTGGTTCGGTACCGGCTTAAACAGCGGTTTTGCTCCGATCTCTTAAGAGTCTTTTTTTGATGGTCTATATTGTTTTGTTTCTAGAACAATTGATCGAAAATGGTTTGTTTATTACAAAAGCAAAACACATGCACATGTTCAGCATTTACGGAAAACAATATGACTTCTACATTCAAAACAGTTCCAATCATTGAATGTTGAGTTTTCTGATGTTAATAATAAGGAAGTTTCATGGACTGGCAATTCAATACGATGAAAATGAATATTTTAGTTTTTTGCTATGTCATTTATTTCCTTTGGCTTTTTTGCTACACCAAGAAATACATGTCTTAGAGTAGATGGAACAATACAATAGTTTGAAGCAAATTGACATTCATAAAAATGCGAAGACAATTACGAAATGGGAATGCAGTCTGTATATCACTTCTCCACCAAAATTATGGTTTGTATATGATTCAATGAAATTGGAAATTTCATGGCATAATCATTTGGAAACTTTTGTTGGTCAAATTGTAAATATTATTGTTCAAGAAATTCAAAAAGAACAACCAAATGTTTCTCAGCGGTGAACAATGGCCAAAAATGCAGTCGAGGATCAAAAAATCGTTCAGTAATTGATGTTTCATGATATTACACAGTAAATTAATACATTTTTTCGTTATAATAAATTAGTGATATTTTGTATTTTTTTTCTTTTTAAACCGGTTTGAAAACAAAACCTAGCAATTTGGTAATAAAGTTACGCTTTAAGTTTTTACTTTCGAATGGTGATCTTTGCCTTCGGGGACTCATACATTCTGGATTTCGAGCTTATGAATTATCGTTATCGGGTTGTATTTATGTTTTTCCCGATTATGAAGTTATGTCTCAAAAATTTTTGCATTTCATAATTCAACATAAAATGACTGACTAGTTAGGATTGGAAAAACCTTCAATTTTTAAAATCTAAAAATCTATAAAATTTATAAATTCTTTCATATAGAATGAAAATTAGGTTTCGGCACCACCAAAAATGATTGAAATAGAACTAGTTATAGTGTCCCTGTGTACATCAAGGTAATGACTTTAAAAAGGGGTGCATACAATTACGTATATTAAAATGCAGGAGTGGGCAATGTTTTCCTGCAATTTTGATTCGAATTGAAATTTTAAGAAATCAGTCGTGTATTCGGTTTTAGGGAAAGTTGCAGCTAAAAAATCATATTGTTTAAATAAAAAGGCTCAATTTAGAAAGGTACAATTTATATATATAAAACGTATGAAATTGTTGTGCTACTTTATATGGATTAAAGATAGCAAATTTTTTTCTACAAGATGAGATTCACTTAGAGATATTGGTGCTACAATGCCAATTTTGTGAAAATTCATGTACCGGTACTTCTTAGGACTATTTTCCCGTCGATCGTTACTTTTCTTAAATTCAACTAGCATGATTATATATTTAGTCTTAGTATTATTTAATTCGCATCTTTAATTAATAAATAGAATGTTCCAATACTTTGACGTGCACGCGTCAAGCAACAATAGTAAAAAATTCAACCGTTTTTTGATCAAAAATTAAAGTGTTGGAAAATGAAAAAAACTTATGTTTCCGAACTGGTTCCGCTGGATTAACATACTATCATCCTACTTTTCTACATGCAACCTGAATTAAATAAAATGGAGCAAGTAAATACATGTATAGCTTCTGTTAAAAATATCTGAAACATCCTCAAGTCTTTGCATAATGTTTGTAAAATGCAAATCATTACGCGTTTTGTAATCTTTTTGACAAATGTTTTATTTGTTTCCATCACATGAATTGGTAAGCATTAACAATATCGATATTCATAATGACCCAATATTGCACTATATGGTTTTATCCCCTAAAACGTGTGATACTTGCACGGACCTCGGTTGATCTGCTTTGTAAACATACTTACCTGATTAGTAATGGTTGCGAAAAGTTTTTGTCGTTTGGCTGGCTGGGTAACAAACCGTCAATTACTGTTGTAATCAAGGAGGATTTTACATTTTATATTTATAAATGCATATCGATTTATTTATAGAATAAGGAAAGGATAACAAATAAAAGTTACAAGACAAAAAAGAGAAAAAAAATCGAATATGACGTTTCATTTCAAGCGCACATTTACGAATCGAAGGTTTGAGAAAGAAATTACATACATGTATTTTTTTATATGCTACACACCCAATAATTTGCATTTCAGTCCCGAAAAACTAACCGAAATATTTAGCCGATTTTTTTTGTAATTATTAGAAAAAATCATAGAATAATGCTTAACTTTGACAACCAAAAAAGTCAAAATGTAACCAAAAATCTTAAATATCTTCAACAGTGAAATTAATTTATCATCGAGTTAAGATTATTAATAGCCAAACCAACTTTAAATGCATAGATTATTTTTTTTTAAAAAAAAAAAGGAATACGAATTTTTTTCTCCTCTCCAAAAGAAGAAAAATTATCACGAGTTTTCACTCAGACTAAAAACGATGCGAGCTTGCCTTGTTTTCTGCAACTGGCTCTTAACACAAAATTCCGCCATTTGTGATAAAAAGCAGCGGTGCCTGATTGTTATTATTTGTTTTGGGGTGAAGAGTAAATATTTAGGTCTTGCATACAATAAACATTTCCACCGCCAATTATTTTACTTACTCTATTGAAAACTGCAGTCTCTTAAGAAAATTTTTTATTGTAAAATCCCTTTCTAGGGAAATTTCTTCGTTGATGTCGTTTTCGGGTCGTTGTAAATTGGGCTCATGTGAAAATCAACAAGTTGGTGATAAAAAAGAATGATAAAAGTCGATTACGAGGAAGTAAATTTTTAAAGCACATGATCCCCAATTTTTCTTCTTAGAAAGGACGAAAATATTATTATTTGGAGTTGGCACTATATATAAACATCTTGGAGTATACATGTAGTAGAATAAATCAATGATACTTTGTTTTTCATGTTGTGATTAATGAAATTAAAACATAATAATTCGAACACGTATAATAATTGTTAAAATTGGTTAATTGTTGTGATACCTCGCACCGCGCAGGACCAACAAGAATTTCGGCAAAGAAATACCGGAATAAGTGCTAATTTCAGATAGGACTAAACTTTTTTATTTAACATTGAAGTAAAATTCCAGTTTGAGCTATCCGTGCCATTGGCAGTCACACACAAAAAAGTGACACGCAGGAGTTACATTAAACATCGCGATGACAATGGGAGCAAACAATAATTGATTGAACTATTTTATAAAAAAGAATATACAATTGCATGATTTTTTTCTCATGATTTTTTTCACATCACAAGACCAATTTCCCACATGAAGTTTTAGAGCATACAGTGAACAGAAAATTTTTCCCAATTTTTGCCCCTGGTTCTTGGCGAATTAAATCCAAATAAGACTTATTCTAAAAGATCTCTGTCATCAAGCTTCATACAAGAAGAAAAGTGTATGCTATACATATATTACTACACCGGTCATTATGCATGGTAATAATGATGCGATCTCATATGGTTGGGTGACTTTTTAGCCTAAAATTACACGCTTACTTCTGGAAAGAACAATATCATGGTATTATGTAACTTAACTGTACTGCTAGGTTCATATAGTTATTTCCTTTTATATATTCGGTCAATAATGAAAATTTTATATACAATTACGCCATTGTACCTCTATTTCTAGAATTTGAGCGACTATTTCTATTTTAGTAAGTATTTACACGATTTTTTTATAAAAATTGACAGCTATGTTATACAAACAGGATATATTTATACTATTGCGATACATATATTTTTTTAAACGTTACAGTGTTGTTACAGAAACTATACTATACTCTATATATATATATATATATCTATCTATATCTATATTTATATATATATATATATATAGTATATGTATATGTACAGTATATGTATGTGTATGTGTATATACATATATTTGTTTATTTATTTAAATCGAAAAGATATCTAGGATGAAACAAATTTTGCATGACAGGCGCAATTATATGAACAAGATCCATTATTTACATCCAAGGATTAATATTCAAGAAGTTTCGAATTAGCTTTATTATTAATGGATATTTTGCACCATCATCATTGTTTCTTTTACGTAAGCACAATTGGGTAAAAAAAAGTAATAATAATACATATACATGTATATAATTCTCCTGCATCGAAACCCAAACCAATTGAAGAAAGTTTCCTTTAAAAATCTTTTTAGGAACTTATAAAATGATCCCACACCGCCGCATACGGAAATGCATCTCACTTTTCGATATTACGGACGAATAGAATATGAACTAAAATTGTACGAGAAAAATAATATTAAAATCGTCATTTTCAGAAAAATTTTCAATGCATAATTAGAATTATGGTTTTTCCGAAGATTATGTAATCTTTACGTTTACCTGTACATCTTGTTATTTTTTGGTTCATTTATCACGATATCATCTTAAGGCCTACCGCTGTTAACCAAATTGCCTAGATTTCATTTTTTTATCCGAAGTTTGTTTTGCGATTTCTACCATTGTTAATCATATTTAAATAACAACTTGGACCGCTAGTGGTTATCTTTGATTGTTGTATCAACTTCAAGAATTAATTGATCACAATCAATCAAAAACATCTCATCAAATGTTTTACAAGAAATCCATATATGGGAAAGGCTAAAGCGGAGGAATTTAGTTGGCTTGATTAACCAATAAAATTTTAGAAGTTGAGAACTAGGCTAGGAAAAATTCATTATTAATTTACACGTGACTACTTCACATTAGCGTATATGACGCTCAAAGTAAACATATCAGAAGAGCAGACACTTAATATTCCTCATTCTACTTTGGATGGTGATTTGTTTCTAATACAAATTGGTCGAGGATGAATTCTTTTATTTACAAACAAAAGCAACTACATGTATCCAGCATTTTTATTATTGATTTACCTTCAAAACAGTTCCATCACAGAGAATAATATTAAAATTCTTCTACAACACATTAAGCAAGTAAGCCTGAAGAAATCGATATTCAATTGAAGTTTCAAAAACTCATACAGATTTTCGAAAAAGCAATAATTGATGCATCACATGCTGAGTTTCCTGGTGTTAACCATATGTTATTTATTTGCTTTGGCTTTTTTTGTTACATCAAGAAACACCTGTAGCATTTAATACCTTACAATCAGAAATGCATATAAAAATAGTATAATGGTTTGAAGGAAATTAATATTTATGGAAAAATAATTGCAAAATGGTAATGCAGTTTGTGTACCACCTATTTTCACAGCAATTATGGTTTGTACGTATATGATTCAATGGAATTGAGCATTTCACGGCATCATCGTTGGTCAAGATGTAAATAGCAAAAGAATTTCTTTGTGATGAACAACAACCCAAGCCAAGAAAAAAATAATAATTGAAAGGGAGAAAAGAATTACTTCTTGGTTAAGGATTGAGATGATCGTTCTTTAGGTGGAATTTCTTCGTGGAATTGCGTACGATTTTTTTATTATACCAAATTAGTAGTTTGGTAATAAATTTACACTTAAGAAAGCTGAGATTTGATCAAGATGTTAAAATGTCACCGAAATCAAGGATAATGAAAATTCGCATTTGAATTTGTTAAAGTTTTACTGCGCTTAACGTTAAACCGTTTAGGAAATCTCTAATGTATTAAAAGCATTATTTCAAAACACGTGGATTTACATCTATCGCTATGTACATGTGCATGTAAATTACTGTGAAAGTTAATGTTCGTTTGTAAAAACAAGAAATTAAAATAACCATGAATGTTTATATACAATTAGCCACAGATTAGTGCTATATAGACTCTAAAAATATACAAAAAATATCAAGCTTGATTCAACGCACATTTTTGTTAAATAGGGACAAACAACGAATTGCGTCTAGGTTGTCGCTTAGTACAATACCATCGAACAGTGGGCATTTGTACATTGTATTCGTCGAATTCAAAAGTTGCTTCCATGCAAAGTGAGTCATATTCAGTTGATGACATATGCATTGATTGAGATAACGCAATTTTGCCGTCTTCTAGACCATCTTTGATTACTTCGCTTGCCTTATTAATAATATTACACAACACGATTAATCTATGTCAATTGAAAGAAGAAAGGAAGTCAAAGTCGCTTACAATTTCACCAAGACGGCCGGCCCATCCTCCAAGAGGTAATAGTCTCGTCTCAGTTCGTATATGTATCACATAACCAGTATCTCGCAAGTATCTGCCGATATTTAGGCTGAGATGGGGATTAATGTCTTTTAACTCTAACATTTCTCGATCTAATGATTATTACATCAAAAGTTAATGTGTTTGTTTCAAGTAGATTTATAAAATATATAAATAGCTTACATCCATCGAGCAATTTTTTTAACGCGGGTCCTTCATTAACCCATCGAAATTCAGATTCAAACAATTCAATTATTCCTCCAGGTTTAGTAACACGAATAGACTCTTCTATTACCTTCTTGCAATATTCGCTTTCAGTGAATTGAGTGCCAAGAAATCTCCCATGAACATAATCGAAATAATCATTTTTGTATCTGAAATTAACGTTATATCGTGTATAGATTAGATTTAAATACTGTTTTATGTTAACGTGTTTAGAATATTACTTACGGTAATCCATTATTAGCAAAGTCAAATTCGCGAAATTTAACATTCGTCTGTTTTTTTTTCCATGCTAAATCTGATTGTATATCGATACCAATAAATCGTGAATTCGGGTAATCTTTCGCCGTATCAAATATCCAACTTGCATCCCCACAGCTATTCAATCTCAATAGTTTATTAATTGATCATTGAGCGCAATATTCACTCTTGGATTGATACATACCCAATGTCCAAAACCATAGTCCCTTGAGTCTTTAACATTTCTTTCACGGGTGCCATAAAATTTCCTTTCCATAAAAACTTCACCGCGAAATGTTGGTATTGAGATTTCTCAATTTTTATTCCATCTGGAAAGATATTTTCATTCTTTATATCTGTGCCGTCAGGATCCATGATTTTGAATTTTATTCCTCCCGGAGTCGAATTCCGTCTCGCTGAGGAAGTACTATCCTGAGATAAACGGTGTAATGGTTGTGGTCCAGTAGGGGTCATCATAACTGAATTATTTTGGATGACATGCAATCCTGTAGATGTTCTTGTTGTCACTAAATTTCTAGGTGGAATAAATTCGAATTCTTGTGATGTACGACTTAAAGGTGTAGTCCAAACAGCTGGCATTGAACTGCGGCGTAGATGATCTTGGAACAGATGATGTGAAGGTTGTTGACCTCCAGTTGGTGCTATTATAAAAGAATTTCTAGGCGTGACAAATTCTTGTGATATCCGAGTGGGTTGAAGGTTTAATGTTTTATATGGGAGAAAATCTTCACGATAAACAGATTTCGGTCTTCTCAATTGCTCTTGCTGTTGTCGAAGCGATATGCCAGATTCATGAGATCTCAACGTAAGAGATTGCTGTGATCCGGAATAATGTTGCGTTTGTTGAAGTGGATATGGTGGTGATTGTAATTTCATTTGAGTTTTCTCTCTTTCCTCCAAAATTCCGGTCCTTTCGGTGCTTTGTTTCTGATGTCGACGAATGCCTCCAAATCTGCAAAATATAAAACGAAATTTTTTTGGTTTTTTATTTTTGATTTGAGGAGTTTTCTTCTTTGATTTGGAGGGACGACGACTACTCCGACCAACACTGCCATTATTGTTGCTGATGCTGCTGTTGTCGTTGTTATTAGTATTGATATTTCCAGTTCCAGATTTTCTAGGAGATTTAGAAACACTACTGCCCATCTTTTTTTTTGCACTACTAAAGGTATCTTATAAATTTGGTAAAAAAAATATTTTTTTGGCTATCAGAAATACATGTAAAAGAAAATTAAATTTTGTGACGCTTACATCAAACAACAGTCGTTCTTTGTCTTATAATATTTTACTTCTAAAATAAAAAAAACGGGCGACGGCGATTATAATATTCATAAATATTCTCACAATACTAACGCTAACCCCTATAATAAACAAACATTACATTTATTCAATTACAAGTAAACAAATAATCCCCACTTTACTATTTATTATCCTATCGCTATTCATTATCGTTATATCACCATTGTCATGGTTGTTCAGATCGAATTATCAATTATGCAAATAGGGAATGATTAAACGAGAGATGGCGGAAAAAGACGGCATCGGCGTTTTCCACCTTTAATATTTAAACGAACAAGTAAATATTCACTAACTTAAAGATAAATGATTTCAAAGACAAAAAAAATGGATAAAAGTTACACAATCAAACGAAAGTAGGAATTTACATGTCAATATCTGATATTTGATTATTTGAATCTTGCCTTTTTCTGTAATTTTATAAGACGTTTCTTTGTTTCAAATTTATTTATTTTGGTTCTATAATTAGTTTAATAAGTCACACACACAAAACGATAAGGGTAAAAGTTAAAAGCGATAGATTTTTTGTTGTTCGCCGTATTTATTATCATTACATTATTTATCTATCATTATTGTTATAATTAAGACTACTACATGTACATGTATTAGGTATGTATGTGATTATATAGTAAATTTAAATAAATTAGAAGAAATTTCCGCAGTATATTTATATACAAAAAGAAAGTTCCTCTTATATGATTATCACTAAATATAATGTACTTTTAAATGCATTAAAACTATTATATCCTAAACAAAAAAAATTAAAGATCCGCATGTCCCTTAGTTAATGTCTGCCGTGTGACTAATTCAAAATAAAGTCCGCGTTGAGCAATCAAATCCAAATGTTTCCCTGCTTCTTCTACTTTTCCTTTTTTAATCACCAAGATCAAATCACAATTTTGTATCGTCGATAAACGATGCGCTATTGTTATAGTAGTGCGACCTGTTGAGGCGCGATCTAGTGCGTTCTGTACAACTTTTTCGGATTCGGAGTCGAGTGCTGATGTTGCTTCATCTAACAATAATATCTTCGGATTTCGAATTAATGCTCGTGCTATTGCAACGCGCTATTTGACGTTAAACAAGATTAGCATTCATTGAATAAGATGTTGTTGTAAATGAAATATTAGATGCGCGTAATGAATAATTTACCTGTTTTTGTCCACCACTCAATTGAGTTCCTTTTTCACCAACAGGCGTATCATATCCCAACGGTAAACTCGTAACAAAATTATGAATATTTGCTCGTTTTGCTGCTTCAATAATCTCCTCTTGTGAACATCCTTCTTTTCCATATGCAATATTCTCCCCAATAGTTAGATCAAAAAGAACCGGTTCCTGACCAACCAACGCCATATTCGCCCTCATATATTCGAGATTCCAATCTTTAACATTTGTACGCTCAATATTTACGGCGCCAGAGTCAGCATCGTAATATCGAAGTAACAAAGAGATAATAGTTGATTTACCACAACCGGATGGACCAACGAATGCAACACTCTTTCCGGCGGGAATTCCAGCATCAAGACCTTTTAGAATTTTGACATTTCTTCGTGCCGGGTATCTGAATCTCACATTAGACAAATTACATTCACCGGTTACCGGGGCTGGTCTGATTTTTCCTTCAACATCATCCGGATCAATTGATGAATTTCGATCAAGCAATTTGAAGATGGATATTGCGGCGACTTTGGCTTTAGCTGTATTAGGAGCGAACATACTAAACGAAAAGAATTTTTACTTTTAATAAATTAATTAAATTCAACCAAAGAAAGCACACGACTATACTATAATTACCTCATTTGTCCCAGATTTTGAGCAGTAAACACGATGGCAAATAGCACACTAAGCATTTGTTTCAGATTGTATTCTTGATCACCCAATAATTTTCCACCATACCAAAACGCCAAAGCCCAAACACCAAATTGAAGAGCATGCGATGCCCCAAATCCGATGGAAGCAACCAAAGCACCATGAACAGCGATTTTATGCGGTTCGGCAATAGCATCTTTATAAAGTGCTTTAAATGTGTCCTCCCGATTCAATGATGCAATTGTTCGCATATTCGAAACACCTTGTTGTACAATTTTGCCGGAATCTCCGTAGGCCTTGGCAGTTTTTGCCCCGAAACCTGCGTGAGCTTTCATTTCAAGATAAGCAGCAAGCACCAATAAAGGAGATACTGAAAATACGACCAATGTCAATTTCCATCCATTAATAAAAGCAATCAACTATATACATTGATATAATGTTAACGTTAATATGTATTAATGAAATCAAAAAAAACCGAAATTATAAGAATATAATAATTACCAATCCCGCAACCAAAGAGCTTATTGTTTGCACAACTGTTCCACAAATAGTGACTAACCCTTGAATTTGTGTAGCTGCAAAGAAAAAAAACAATTAATATTAATTAACGGTAATGTTAAACGATCACTCATAATATAATTTATAATTCTTTACCTTCGGTTGACAATTTCGAAGTTAAAGCCCCCGTTGAATTTCTTTCATCATCGAAAAATGCCATCTCTTGTCTTAAGAGTGCTCGGAATGTCATATCTCTTATTTTTGTAGTAATTCTGTATCCTGTAATTGCTATAGAATGTAGGAGCATTGTCAGCTTTCACAAATTCCTTTTCGAAAGAACGCGAACTTCATTTACTTACAGAAAAAGCAAATTTTGCAGAAGAAACCAATAAATGCGGCACCAGCAAGTACTACAAACATGCCAGCCCAAAAGTTTGCATCATGTCTTAATTGGTTTGGACTTTTAAGATAAGATAGAGACAAAATAAGCAAATATTCAAGTTATTATTCAACAATTCAAGAAAAATGAAATTCATAATTACTCAGTTTTCGAGAAAATATTCAAAATAGTTGAATAGATTAAAGAGAACAATGGCATGACGCAACCCATTACAGCTGCACCAAAAGAGCCGACGAGAACATACAAGATATCAGGTCGACTCATTTTAGCAACTCGAAGCCATGGTGCTGATAATTTGCTATAATCTTCCTCTTCGGCTTCTTTTTCATGCACTGAATGATTCGATGAAGCTTTTGTTGTTATTCGTTTTACAAGTTTCTCTCGTTTTTCGTCATCGCCTTCCTCATCAATCTTGATGATACTTTCGCTTCCATCTTCGTCGTCATCATCGTCATCATCCTTGCTTTCAGATTTTTCACTTTCATCTTTTCGAGTTTTTAACTCTTGAGCTTTGACTAAACCGTAATATACATCTTGTCGTGCAATTAATTCGTTATGAGTTCCCACTTCAACGATTTCTCCTTTTGACATGACGACAATCATATCAGCGTTTTTTATAGTAGACAATCGATGAGCAATAACTACTGTGGTACGATTTTCTGACGCAGCGTCTAATGCTTCTTGCACTAAGGCTTCGGATTCTGTGTCTAAAGCTGAAGTGGCTTCGTCGAGAAGAAGAATTGCTGGATCTTTTATCAGAGCACGTGCAATCGCGATTCTATAAACGAAGGAAGGATATTAAAATTTCTTACATGTGCAAATTTTTCAGGAGTTAGAAATGAGAAAAAAAAATACCTTTGTTTTTGACCTCCAGACATTAAAGCACCTTTTTCACCGACTAATGTTTCATATTTATCTGGTAATTGATCAATGAACTCATGGACATTTGATTTTTTACACGCCGCGATAATCTCTTCCAAAGTTGGTTTTTTTCCATCAACCGCACTACCCCATTCAACATTTTCCCTCACGCTCGCAGGGAAGAGAACAGGTTCTTGACCGACGAGACCAACATGTTTCCGTAGTGATTTAATATTAATATCTTGAATCTTTTCTCCATCTATAATCACTTGTCCACTAATAGGATCATAAAAACGTTCAAGTAGATTGACAATAGTCGATTTTCCACTGCCAGAACTGCCAACCAGAGCGACAGTTTGTCCAGGTTTTATGGTCAAACTGAAATTCTTAAGAACTGGCACATCTGGGCGTGACGGATAATGGAAGTTTACATTTTTGAATTCGATTCGTCCTTTTACTGATGATTTATCGAGTTTTTTGCCGTTATCAGAGGTTACATCAATAACAGGTACGCGATCAATTACAGCATATAATTTTGCTGCTGCGCCTAAAGCTGTGCCGAGATTACCGAAATTTGGTCCGGCATTTCCTAGCGCGAATGCTATTAAAGACAAACATCATCAGAAAAACTAGTCATATACATGAAATTCTTCAAATCTTACTAGCTACATACCGCCAATAAGCACCGCAAAGAACACATTAACAACCTGTCCACTGTCCATTTTATGCTCGACCACAAGTTTGGCCCCATAATAGAATGCCAACCCATATGTCGAGAACACAATAAGCATTATTGAGCCGATTCCGATTCCTTGTACGATACTTTGTTTCTTTCCGAGCTCATAACCTGCATCAAGCTTTTTTTTGTAGCGTGCGGCTTCACGTTCTTGACCACCGAAAGCAGCAATTGTTTTAATGCTAGAAAGCACTTGTTCGGCTACCGCGCCAGCCTCGGCGTACGCATCTGTTTACGAAATAAATTTATTATTATCGTTCATAACCACACAACGACGACAACAACAAACAACAACAACAATAATAATACAACCAAACTCTCTATAGTCACCCTATTTGACTTTCAAGAGAGGTAGATTTTATTGTATTGTGGTGACGATAAATGGATTTGATTGTATTGTTACCTTGTCCACGAGTAGCAAAGTTTGATAACGATTTTGCCATGAAAATTCCAGAAGCAGTAAGTAATGGCAAAATACAGCATAAGACTAACGCAAGTCGCCATCCTATGTTTTGTTTTGGAAAATATAATTTAACGCATGTGCAAAGAATTCATTTAATTTAATGTATGAACGAAGAAATTATTTACCCTTGAAAAATGCAATAATAAATGCCGAAAAAAATGTAGTCAGGTATTGAATAATTCCTGCTAATTTTTCTGAAATTCCATCCTGAACTACTTCAACATCACTGGATATGCGTGAAATAACATCCCCTGTAGCGACCGAATCAAACCATGCAATATCTTGTCGTAAAACTGCAGCAAAATATAATTGACGAATTCTCTAATAAAAAAAATGATGATCATAAGCATATAAACATGCAAAAAGTATATTTGGAGATAAATAGGGGAAAGATGGGTACCTTAGCTTGTCGTTCGCCAGCGAGCATCCAACATGCTAATTGTGCATATGCAAGTATAAATACACCAACTGCGAGCGCCACAAAATAAATTAAATTTTTTCGGAGATCGTGATTTAATGTGTCTCTTGCTTCACTTGCACTAGCCGGATCTTTTATTATAGCGATGGTAAAATTGAGAAAAGCCTGAATTATCGACGAGAATACAATTGTCATTAAGGGAACCGATGCTCCGTTTCCCATTGCACCCACACTTCCAAATATCATTAAAAGTTTATCGGTGAAGGTAGCAAAACGAAATAGTTGAGATAATGTAATCTTTTGATCAGGTGTTGGTTTTTTCTTTTCTTTTTTTATATCATCCTGCTCCTCTATCTCAATATCATTTTTCTCTGTGTTCTTTTGTGGAGGTAATGCATCAACAATATTGTAATCAATTTCAGGTAGTGCTGTAGTTTGAGAAGAACTATTTGTACTAGAGTTATCTTTGGTGGTTTCTTCTAATGTAATATCGCTTGATCTTTCGTTAGAAGCCATGTCATATGGTTTATTATTATGTGTCAATTTAAATTTTTGGACTGCGTGTTTTTTATTACTTGATGCAGTTAATATGAACACACGCAAAAAATCGCACTATATTTATATAAAATGAAATACGAAATTCTCGGAAAGAATATAATCCCGTTGGACAATGACTTTAGTTCGGTAAAAAGTAAAACCGAATAAAATAGAAATCGTTTGTTTTGTAACCCAATAAATAAAAATAAATGAATTACTAAATTAAGATATCTAGTCTGCACAGGTTAATATTCCCCGGTGTCGACGTAACTGCAATACGCAGCAATACCAAGTCCCAAGCTTAAAGATATTTTGCAATGTAATTAGGACGAATTTAATACGGAGAATAATTCCCATACAAATAATTAGGTTTAAGAATCTAATTTTTTTTGAACCATTTCAATGAATGATCATTAAGGTGCATTTGATCGTAAATTTGCCTGTTTAGTTCCATATATGTAATACAATTGCCCCATTATTTTACTCGGCAAAATCTTCTACGACAGGTTTGGAGAAGATAAACGGCTGCGCATCAGCTAAATTTTGCATTTCCTGATTGAAATTTCCGCTTATGATACTTCTGAGTTTGTATGAATATTTCTTTTAAAGATCATTTCTATGATAATAGCAAATGCTTGGTATGATGTAATATTGTAAATACACGTCAGAGATGCTGTTTTAACAAGACACTTTGTCAAAAAACTGTGTACTACATGTATTTGTGCGCAAAACGAATGCTTGAGAATAATATAAAAAGTTATCCTTTGTATATGCGTGTAATTAGTTCAAACGAGCTATATCATTTAATATAAACTACAAATGTAAAGAATCTCTTTCATGGATAGGAATATAAGGACTTTCACCGCATAAGGTAAATAGAGGTAGTGTGACCAATCATTAAAAATGTTGTAAAAAAAGAAAAACAAATGAGCTAACCAGCTATTGGTCATAATAATAATTACATGTAACGGTAACGATAATACATGCACATGTTACAAAAGAAAGAATGTGATTTTGATCGGCCCGATACATAAGGAAGATGTATTATTTTAACGATTTACGAACAAAGGATTTCTTTGAAGTTTTTAAAGGTCTCTTGTGGTGACTTGCACATAGATCAACTTAAAGATAAGAGTTTAAAGAGAATTTTCAAATAATATAATTCAGATTGTTTCTGCTAGCCAAGAATTACTGTAAATCGAATCACCAGGACTTATTTCTTTTGCCTGTACAATAATAACCAAGTGTTCAAACACACTTTTCACAATATTAAAAGTTGGACTTAGTTTCTACCAACAAGCGATCCAAAATCAAAGTATGGCTTATTTAAAGTGAAGGTACTCCATTACTTGGAATCAAGATTTGAAGATAATCAAGAGGAATAATAATTATATAAAGATAAGTTTACAAACATTATTTTTATTAGAGTCCCCGAGTCTTCTGTCATCAAGAAGCTCTTTTATACATGTAAAATTTCCTCATGTCTTTCTAAAACTAGGATTTTGGCATTGTCAAATATGGACAATGTCAAACACAACATGAATTATAGTGGTTGCCAAATGGTTTGCATCATCCAAACGACAAATTTAAAAGTTTAATAACTTTATGTGCATATATTAAAAGATTCATAAATTTAAATATACATAATCAGCGAATTTTATAAAACATACGGGGCTAATCTTATAAGTAATTAATATCGTAATAATAAGATTTACGCAATTTTACATGATGCGTTTTTTTTTATTAATTTAAAATATAGAAATATTATTGTCAACTAATTAACAAATAAATTTAATAAAATTTAAAACGCCTAGTATATCCTTCTTTAGCATTAATTACATTATTCCTTTGCTTGAATATACTTCAATTAGTCAAGTTATAAATTCATTATCTATCATAATTCAAATTTGTTGAATTGCATCCTACAGTTGATTGATTATTAATTGGAATGTGCAATTATTTCAGGTGGCTATCTATCTCATTTTAGAGTTGTTTAATTGGATTTAAATTAGAGGATTGAGATAACGATAATCATTTCATTATATTAATCTCATTATCATTATTATTTTATTAGTTATATATTTTGAATTATTATCTTGCATAAAAATAATATTATTTTTATCTAATTTATTATACTTAATAAGTCATTTATTGATTTTCAAGATATAATTCTTGATTCATGATATCATAAATATGTATAATAATTTTAATTCTGAAAGAAAAACTATTCCAGATTATAATACTATTATTATCAAATTTAACTATAAATTTTACAAGGCAATTATTAAGTCAAAATATTTTATATTTTAACAATATTCATGATATTTGATCTAAATAATACATTCTGTTTCATTCTTTATTTGCCAATTTTAAATGTAATTTTTGATTTTTTTACTTAAATAAGATTTCTTTCATTTAATTCTTGCTAATAAATCATGTTTATATAAAGTTTTTCTTAGAATATTGTTACCTATATTAAATTAATTATTATTTTTTAATTTTTTTGAATTTTCATAGTACTTGAATATTCATCGCTTGAAATAAATCATATAATATTATGCTTATCATTTTCAATTAAAATTCATAAATGACCAGATTTTGACAAATCTTTTATAAAACCAGTTGTTTCAAGTTTTTTTTTAAATGAATAATAGAAGATTGTGCAATGTTTTCTTTTGATACATATTATAAAAGAAAAATTCTTTCATCAAGAAAAGTGCAGATTCATGATCTATATTCAATAATAATATGTTTCATATTGATTTAATTATTGTTTTTTAAATAGAATAAAAGATTATATTTATAGATATAATTTTTATATAGCATATAAAATAAGATTTGTAATGAAATTTTTATGTTTTATAGTCTTATGTTTAAATAGATTAAGATAATCAAGATTCTTATTTTTTAAATACACTTGATTTATAACATATAATATTGCATTTTTTATTCATGTAATGCAAAACTTTTGGCAGCCATTGTACTTGTTTTCACTCTCTTTTTACATAAATCACAATGAAATTTGGCATGCAAATAAAAGGTTACAATATCAAAATGCTAGATATATAAATGAAAAAATCACAAGAAATTATGAAATTAAGAAATTCATTGTTACGATAGTTATGACAGTAACATTATAAAGAAGTCAGTATGTGCATGTACTTCAAAAGATATTATCGTAAACAATTATGCCTAGCACTATCAGTAACGGTCGAAATCTTGAAGAACACAATCCTGAATGTTCATAAACTGACAACGAAATACCAAAAGAATAGATATTCCCGAATATTGAAGTCTCAAATGACATCCCAAATGGTCGAACTCCGGAATGATGATCGAAATCCAAAAATCTGAAACAATAATATCATGCATTTATAATATTATACTTTCGGGATTTCGTGCATTCGATTTTGCAGGATGTCATTTATTTGAAACTTCGAACATATTGGGATGTTATTCTTTTAGATTTTTGATCACATTTATCGGGTTTAAGAATGTCTTCTTAACGTTGATCTCAATTGGGAAATGTCAAGTAATATTCGAAAATTAGTAATTTTTCTCATTATCAAATTTTTATAAGTGTATAATTATGAGTTTTGAACTGAGGGTATAAAAGTTGAATTCTTGAAAATTACAATAGGCTCGAAGATACAGTGGCGACCAAAAGTAATGCATCAGGAGCTAAATTTATTAACGTTAATAAAACATAGTGAAAATCGAAATTTTCTAATTTTATCAAAAATAATTTTTATTTTTATATCAAAATAAAGTTCATCAATTATAGTTTGACATATATTTTTCTCTAATTGTAAATTCAGTGCAAAATTTTTATTAATTAAATTTCATTTTTAATTAGTAAAAATTTTTGCATCAACTTTACAATTAGAACAACTCTTTCAGAAAAATTCTAAAAAATCTGAAAAAAATATATGTTAAACTACAACTGATAAACTTTATTTTGATATAAAAATAAAAATTATTTCTTAATAAAATTATAAATTTTTAATATTAATATAGAGAAAATTTCAATTTTATTAATATAAATAGAAAAGGAAAAGTTTATTAAAGTAAATTATCCCTTTTCTACTTACTTCCTTCGTAAATTTAAGAATTTACTAAATGAAATAAAGCAATCTCATTCTTGCTGTGCTTAATATCTCCTTTTATTTAAAATAAGCCGTATAAAAATATAAACTTTGTCACTTTTTCCAAAAAAATTGATCCAGCAATATGATAAGTAAATCTTAAGTTTTCTTGTATTATCAGAGAAAACGATTATACAAATCATATCATTTTAACGATAAACTTTTAATTACATGTATGATTTTTCATCTTTATAATATTTTTGTGCGATTTTTCTTGTCATTAGTCTGTTAAGTAACTAAAATATTGGAACCAGATTTATTTTTAATATCTAAAACCGTTTAAAATCTGGAATAGAATAAGAAACCTAAATCCTGTTCTGAGCTCTAATTCAGCAGACATAATGTAAAAAGCGTAAAGTGCGAAGAAAACGCTCTTTATAAACCTTTACTTTAGAATCTTTTGTACAGGCCTGGAACAAAATTAAGAGAGTTTCTCTAATTTATCATCAAAGAACGCAAATAAAGCAACAGCGCTCACAAAAGAAATGCAACATGAAAAAAAAGTCGAGGTACGAAATATCTCGCCGTAGGGTGAGTGTATTGATTCATCAATATTTACAGTATTGATAATATCAAATTTATTCGCTTCTATCTTTTGATTAAAGATGCATTAACTTTTTTATCTTTTTTTAGCATTACACTTATTACGACCGAACGGGAAGGTGGATGGAAGTATTATATAAAGATAAGCACAAACACTTTTGATGCGGAAAATTGCAGCATCGGTCCAGCCTCCGTCTACCGGATATGCAAAAGAAGGAAGAGACTGGGAGCTTTGACGACAAGTCGAAAACTGGTCACTCACCAATCCTTTTAACACACTACATTCCGAAA